CCCCAAAACCCCAAAACCCCATTGTGATAAATTAATTGGAAATAATAATAAAATAAAAAGATACATTATATCATAATATTATTATTAAATTAAATAATTAATTATTAAAATATACAAGTTTATCTCGAAATGTTGGCCTTAAACTTGAAACATTTTTACCTTCCACTTCTGCTGTATAATTTTTTACTGATAGCTATTTTCATCTATGTTTCTATAAAATTACTTATACGTTTCAAACTAAACATGGATAAATCTGCATACTACACAATATGCATTTATATTTACACGCTTGCTGTTCAAAATTATGACTGGGATCGAAAGTATTCAGAGCTTTTCGATAATTATCAATTAATTGATCTGCAAACTATAGACTATGTCAATATCTTACTTGACTAACTCATGATATTTCTCTTTGATACAGTGATAATATACTATACTTTTGAAATGAGACTAGTAAGAAATAAACATGAATTTTCTACATTTACTGAATTAGATGCCTTTTAGTCAAGGAATTCCTTATTGAGAAATATTTTATTCGTGGTATCGTTTACACTTCTTGCCTTTAATCAATTATTTCAATTCATTGTTGAAAATTAAACAGATTTGGAAATGCAATAGAGTCCAGCCTATATTCTTCTGGTCTTCACAAGTGTTTTTAGATTTGGTATTGATATTTTCTACATATCTTTGATAATAAAATACTTCAACTTTTTTGTTTGCTAAAAAATGAAGATGATTCATAGAAGGGGCTAAAACCTTACTACTAAATTTAGAGTTATTGTCATTTGGGTATATTTCATTCTGTTTGCTTACATACTTGATTTATTGGCCAAACTTATCATATATGCATTTCTAATTAGAAGTTAAGGCTTGTTTCATTCCTTCTATCAAGTTTACAGATTCATTTTTTACTCGACTCTTGTTACGCTCCACGGACATACTTTCCTTTATCTGTTCTATTCTTAAGCAGAGATGAGTGAGAATGATAATAAACTTAGGTAGAGAGCGGTTAATAAAAAATGTAAAGATACAGATTGCATCCTCAATATCCTTTATGAAGATTAATAACTTGATACAAGATGATAGCTTGAGATTATCTAAGATGATGAGCTAAGTGTCTGTAAAAAAACACACTCTTTAAAACAATACTAGAACTACTGCTGTTGGAAATTCTGAAGCTATTGATTATAGAGTAACAACATAGTAAAATTGTTAAGAAAGCATTAAGTTTATTGACATGACTACTTGGGAAGAAGAGGAATTACTAAAAAAATAAGAAGAAGAAAGCAAAAGTCAATTTAAGAGATTTTTGATTTCTCAAATGAGCTTAGATGCTCCATCAAAACAAAAGAATAAATATAAAAACAACTATAATTGATATTTGACAGTTTAAATACATTATTTCTCTATGATGATAGAAATTTTAATCTCTACTCATGGGGTTTTGGGGTTTTGGGGTTTTGGGG